GGAACCTGGCAAAATGAAAGACCTCCGGTACTCTGAACCAAGAAATGAATCGTCAGACCAAACTGTGATTATACCATCAGACAATCAATCATGAAGTTCTACTTTCTGGGGACAAAGACTGACAAATCCCTGTACCCCACATTGTGTATTCACTGCTTTGATGATTACAAAGATAACACAACTTGTGATAATCATCCTGCTGTTCCACTGAAGCTGGAGACTGTGACCAGCGAGGCGTGACGGGTTATGTCACCAGTAAATACCTGTTAGCTGAGTGAATAATCACCCTCTTTGAAGTCGTTTCAATCGGGGATTTACCTGATTTGTTAGACCCCCGCCCTCAAGGTTGAAAAGTGATGTACATCGTTCTAATCTATTATCACCAATATGGTTTTATTGCCCTCAGTTTGGAAAGACAAATTTCTTGAGGGTATTTGGATATTGAGATAGGTATCAGAATGCTTACTTCAAAGAAAAAAATCAAGACATGGTATTTATTTTATTACAGTATTTAGATCAGGTCAATAGGTTTGATCTTAAGATCTAGCTTAACAAGCCAATTGAATCAGGCAAAAAAGTAGGCAGACATTAGTTCAAAATGTGTTTAACGATTATGCATTCTATGGGCCTAATTTGGCCTGAGATTCTGGATTAGTGCTTCTTAGGGTAGCCATTGTGTTGATCACCAATCAGACCAACATCAGTTACCATCTTGCATTAGACAATGAAAAACAAGCAAGTTTTAAACAGCAGACAGAAAAAAATATGGATGACTGAGTTTTTCTCATGTTAAAGTCCGTTGTTTTTGGTTCATTTCACCAAATTGTAAAACAATCTTGGATAATTGTCTGTTTTATCATTGTTATTATGTTCAGGGTTTTCTGTAGGTCAAACTCAGAAAATAAACATATAAGGAGTTATAGCACTTGGCACTTGAAATGAGCTTAACTGAAACATTTTTGCAAATAAATGGTTGCAAGCAATATGCCAACTTTTAACACAACAGGGAATGTTTGGGTTCTTCATGTAAAGAGTTAATTTAAAATACGTTTTTCTATGCTGACAGATAATTAGGTTATCAGTCAAGTACATTTTGTAAATCAAAAATTGAATAAAATATAATATTGTCTGCTTGTCAAGGGCTCTTAGTTTGTATTCCTAAATAACATATTGAAGCAATTTTAAGTGTCAAAATTGGTTATCTTTTCTCAATAAGTTGTTAACATTGCAAAATATTGTTTGTTCCTGAGAGCAAGACAAGAAATTCAATACTTTCTGTTTATTTGTTACAAACAAATGCAATATTGGAAGCAGATCGATATAATAATTTTTTAAATTTTACCTCATTGTTTATTCCGTGCGCTCAAAAAAGGTGGGATTTTTTTAACTCCTTGAATCCTACTAAAGTCTAGAATGATTTGGCATGTTTTGATTGCCTCTGGGCTTCATTAGGTAAATAAATTTGGTAGATAAATATATATAAATTTTAGATATTTGGTAGATTTCTTGGACTTAATGTCAGTCTATCCACAATGGCAGTCACGACTTACTAGAGTAAAGATCCATGCAAGTATCTATGAAAGTGAGAAGTCTAGCAGTGGACATATGGTGTGTCAGCTTGTGCTGCTCCCAGGGAGACATGTTAATTAGCTGCTGCTGTACAAGCTCTCAGTACCAGTGTCTCACCTCTCCTGCTGCCACATGTCAAGGCTGAACAGCTCCATGTTGTCCCAGTCCAGTCAATGACACAATCAGCACATGTTTTTGTTGTTTTGTGATTTTCACTTCTTGTTAACAACATTCTGTTGTTTGGTTTCTAAAAGTGTTTGAAAAATATTATGCCGGTGTTTTTAATCATGATAATGCATCTATATGAGTTATTTGTTCTTGTCTGTTTGAGAAAACATATACAAGTTTACCTTTAGAACAGTGTTTTCACTATTCACCCACTCTAGACTGACATTTGCTCCTAGAAATAGTTACCTTAATTCAAAAAATATATCTTCCCCCAAAATAAGTCAATAAAATCGTAAAGGAACCATGAACAATTCCAAATTTCAGATCTGTAGCAATCTACATTCACCCAATTGTTCCAGACTTGAGTTGGTCCTGCTATATTGACAAATAATGTGTAAAACAGGAGATCTGTTTTGTGTGGTGTTTTACCTCCGTAATCTTGTTACTTGTTATCAGAAGAAACGGGCAGTGGGTAGCCAGGTGGTTTAAGCATCAGCTCATCATACTGAAGACCCGGGTTTGATTCCCTACATGGGTACAATATGTGAAGCCCATTTCTGGTCCCCTCCACCGTGATTTTGCTGGAATATTGCTAAAAGTTCCTTAAAACTATACTCACTCACTCCGAAGAAACATGTGACTAACATAATAAAGTTGCAAATGCACTTCCCCTAGCTTGTCGAGGCCAATGTTCAGACCAGCATCAGAGCAAATATTTGTAAAATTGTCATAAATTTAAGTAATTCTACAACTTACAGATCTGCACATGTCACAGTTTGACAGTATTGCAATGAATGCAGCATGTTTTTTGCCCCACGTAAAGAAGAATCCCAAATAAATCGCTCCCTGAATTTATGTTTTGGCCTTGTGCTTTAATTGGTTCCCCTTTAATTCCCACTAAGTCAATGGTGCACCCATTTATCTTTGAGTAGTGTGTTGCAGCTCAAGCATGTCAGATTATATCACTGTACATGCAATTTACCAATAATGTGATTCTTGTGGAGGTCACGCTAGGGATGCTAAGTCCTTCAGCCCCATCTTCCTCCCTGCTGATAAAGCAGTGAGAGTTCTGATTACACTGTGAGTGATTGTGTTGTGTAATCTCCTTATACCCAGGTGGGATCTGTTAATTGAAGCATGCTGTAAAGATTTCTAAAAACATTTCCCTGATTGGCACTCTGACACTGCTCAAGCTGTTTTCGTGTCACTGTATACACAACTTATTACCCATTCCACACACGAGTCGTGGTGTTCGAATTAATGATAATGTTATGCTTTACATGTCTGGGTGTATTTTAAATCACACTGTTATCAATTTAAGAAATGGTTAAATAAGGCTAGTTTATTATTTCACAAGAATTAAAAGATTTCTTGGTCAAAATGTTCCTACCCAGAAGGCCAGGGAAAATACAAAATATTTTGGAGTAATTATGTAAATTGCAAAGAAAAAGTGAATTATGTGCTTATTATCAAACATAAAAATCTTTATGAGTATATAATGTTATGCTGAGTCTATTTGCAAACAAAACGTCTGGCACTGAAATATCATGGAGTAATAATTAATGATGAATTTTTGTATAAATTATTACTCCCTGATAAAAATATTCATTATTAATTATTACTCCATGATAAAAAGTTAAAGATAAATATAAATATTTTTTGAAAATAAATCTATTCCAACCCACTTATTCTTCCTCATTTATTTTTCACTTTGTTATTTAAAGCTTTATCTATAAATAAGAATGTCCAACAGTTTTCTGCCTCAGATTCAAATATATATAAATATGTACATATCATTTAAACTAACTCAAAATATGTTTCATTCTTTCATGAGTCACCAAGACAAACTGTATTAACATGAAAAAGAAACAACCAGGTGGTTTCACTTTCTTTGCCATGACAGATAAACTGTATTAATGTACAGAAACTAATTTTATTCAATTGATTTTGAAAGTTTAATTTAAAGCAAATTTAAATCTGTTCAAAATTGTTAGATTAATGTGATTACAGCTGTAGATAAGAGTATATTCCCTGCAGATTTAGTGATAAGATGCTACAAGTGAAGGTGATAGAAATGATTCCCAAATTATTATGGTCCATGATTGTTGGAAGCAATACCAGACATGGCCCAGTCTATAGAGTTTATTGTCTAATTAGGAACCTCCACAGTCAATGTGCTGTCGTAATGGCATTTATGACAGTGGCATTGATAATAAAGCAATTATGTCACAATTTCAAGACACTTGCACCCACGATCTGTATGTGATGTTTCTGTTTACTGGCCTGTAATTATTAAATTAACACACATCACCTCATTAACATGACTAGAAACAATCCGTGCAACGTTTGTTTTGACGAGTTCGATGTCAGTCTGTCACATTCATGTTGAACAAAGTTCTGCTGCCCATCACGTCCACTCAGGCCCCAGCCACTGAGAGAGCCATCCCACAGATTGGCCAGACCCACTAATGCTAATTACTGACCCCCCAGGGCTGTCCTTGCCCTGAGGCAGAGTGGCCCTTTGTACCGGCCAGTGTCTTACACTCATTGAGGGCGAGAGGAAGGGGTGCTATCACAACACAATTGGTGCAAAGCAAAACAAGACTTCAATAGGAGGGGGGGCCTTTGTTTCAGGACTGGACTGGGACGCTTGCATAGATTCGGGGTGTCGTTAAATTTAATCTCTATTGTCAAGGGTTTTGTTTGTGTAAGAGTGTGCAGATGATCTGTACGGTTCTATCTTGTACTTAAAGGCAAGGGGCAGAGGGAGAGCTATCATATTCTCCTTAGACTGTTCCTGGTGGATTCACACAGCACACCTGTTGAACATCAACCAGGTGTTAGACACTGATGGTAGTGGGGCATATAAGACTCTCATCACCTGAGCTCTAAACTGAATTGTTACCTCAATTATGCTGCACAAATCAGAGTAGAAAGCTGTTGCCCAAGCGGGTGGTCATTAGACGAAGATAATCTTCATTGGTGGTTTGACACTCCAGACTGTAGAGTCGTGCCTGACAACAAGGTGTACCTGACTCACGTACTTGACAGTCTCTCCCAGATTGTTGAGTTTGGCAGTCAATCCTCAAAGAGGACTTAGTGCTCAGAACATTTATTTATTTATTTCAACTAGTGCAATACCTACCGTGACAATGACGCTGTTGTACAGCCAGTGTTTGACCGATGACCAGACAGACCTCCCAGGGGGATGCTGTTTCTTCCCAGGAATATTGCTCAAAAGATTCCATGTTTATTTCATAAAGAAGTTACAAGCAGAACGGAGAGCCCAGCTGGAGATGTACGCCCGCCGTGCCAGGGTCCATCTTGCTGCAGTCAGGATACAGACATGGTACAGGCAGTGCTTGATGCTACGGCAGGCACGGCAGAGGATTGCAAGCATCATCTGCATACAGGTGAGTGTAACACTGGTACAGCAACCAGAATTGCAAGACTTACTAGAACCTCTAGTGTGATTGGACACTTTTTAAAACACTGGTAACCATGGTAATGTCAACAAAAAGTTCTAGTCCTTACTTTTTGTTTCATTTGATTTTAAGGAACTCTTCTGATTGGGGTTGTGAAATTTATTATAAAGTCCAAATTAATGAAAGTATGTACACTTACAAATCTCCCCTTTGGTGTCTCGCAACATCACTGAAAGGATAACATTATCCAAGGATAATGAATGGATAGGTATGTGTGGAAGAAGTCATGGAGGAATAAATTGGATTTTTTAAATAAGATATTGAGTAATGAAGAGTGCAAAATCTGCTTCACAATTCTTTTACCTTTCATTGGTCTTGTTTGGTCGCATGTTGCTGTATCATCCTTATGTTGACTTTATACATATGGAATATCTCACCATAAAACTGGGGCTAATGTCCTACTGAAAAGAAATCTTCACAAATTATTGTACTTGGTGGTCCTAAACATACTTCGAGATGTGCGCATGCTGCTTTGACAGGCTCGCCTGCTGCCATCTGGGGTAGTGTCAGACTCTCATGTGGGTGTCGGTGGGGAGGCCACACTTGGATCTCGTTAGGCTCAATACAGCAGTGGGTGGATTGTTACACCCCGTGACCTGGTTTATACATCACAAGGTCATCAGCCATTCATCTGGTTTATGGATTATTGAGGGGAGAATGTTACACCCCGTGACCTGGTTTATACATCACAAGGTCATCAGCCATTCATCTGGTTTATAGATTATTGAGGGGAGATTGTTACACCCCGTGACCTGGTTTATACATCACAAGGTCATCAGCCATTCATCTGGTTTATAGATTATTGAGGGGAGATTGTTACACTCCAGTGACCTGGTTTATACATCACAAGGTCATCAGCCATTCATCTGGTTTATAGATTATTGAGGGGAGATTGTTACACCCCGTGACCTGGTTTATACATCACAAGGTCATCAGCCATTCATCTGGTTTATAGATTATTGAGGGGAGATTGTTACACTAACGTAACTCTGAGTGATCTGGTTTATGCATCACAAGGTCATCAGCCATTCATCTGGTTTATATTTTCTATTATTGTGGGCAGATTGTTACGGGAAATTGACACCCCGTGACCTGGTTTATACATCACAAGACCATCAGCCAATTATCTGGTTTATAGTTTCTATTATTGTGGGCAGATTGTTACACAAATGACAGTCAGTGATCTGGTTTAGAGATAATAAGGTCATCATCCATTGATCAAAGCTCGAAACACTCCCAGGAACTGGAAAGTAAACTTTGTCATGCTCAAATCATTTTCACATAAACTCATTGGTCATGTTTTCAAGTTGTCTGTACCACAGTCCCAGAACAGCATTGTCCTTTCCTCTCAGCAGCACTGTAATGCTATTGCCCCAAGTGAAGCCAGTTTAGGTTGTTGGCAGGTTTTGAATATCCATCTCACTGATGCTCCTTTCCAGTTTAAATGAAGTTGTTATATTTTTCCTGAGAAAAAATAAGCATAAGTTTTCAACGAAAAGTGATCACATATGTTAGTATGGGTTTATATTCTTTGAAGCTCTCATAATCTATGTTTTACTGTGTTGTCAACAAAATCTGAGGGCCTATTCGATTATGCAAACCGGTTTTGGTTTCTAGTAAACCATGCACACATGGGCATTATGTCGTGAAAACCCATTTCAGGGTTCTGAAACTTGAAACCATCTCTGGAGGCAGGTTTAAAGTTTCGCTCAAACCTCTCTCACCACAAACATGGCGGAAGCAAGTTCAGCTGGTCTTTGTGGCAAAATAGAGCAGCAGTTTCTAACCAAAATAATGATAAAAATTAACTGAGAAGTAGGAAAATATTATTTAAAACTCTATTTAAAGTCTATTGAACATGACTATTTTATGTAACTTGTATACATATAATTATTTGTAACAGTATAATTACATATATTTTGGCTATTTACCTCCAAAAGTATCTCATCTCTATATTATTTAATAATTCACTGATAAAATGACCAAAACAATTTACCTTCTCGCAATGCTGTATCCCAATTAAGTTCCACATATAGAGCTGAGACATTTTTTTGGGGTATCTATTTTGAAACCGGATGGTGAAACCATCCACTTTCGTTTATGAAACTAGAAACTAGTTTCACTTTGAAACCATGTATCCGAAACTGGACACTTGTTATAACAGAAGAAACCAGTTTCAGAAACCAAAACCAGTTTACTTAATAATCGAACAGGCCCTTAGTGTTTATTACGACCTGGACAGAAGAAGTTATGCTATCCTTAAGTTGGATGTCCTGCTGATTGTTGACAGCGCCGTGTACGAGCTTTCTTGGTACGTTTGCACTACGTAAAGCTACGCAAGAGTACCGTGCTGCTGCAGCACCAGTGTCGACAGTGGTTGGCGTTGCGGCAGAGGTCAGCAGTGGTCATCCAGAGTGCAGTGCGGCATTGGCTCGTCAGACAGAGGCAGCTCCGACTCCACAGACAGGTGGCCAGACTACAGGTGAGCATCTTGATTACATCCTGACTGATGAAGTTGTGTGCAGGTATTTGGGTGAGTATGGGTTTATTGGTCACATACAGGTAAGGGTGTACAGTGGCTTGCTGTAGTGACACAGGTGGGCTGTGTGGGTGGTAAATTAGGGTGAGTATGGGTTTATTGACAGAATGAGTGGGAGGTGGTCACATACAGGTAAGGATGTACAGTGGCTTGCTGTAGTGACACAGGTGGGCTATGTGGGTGGGATATTGGGGTGAGGATGGGTTTATTGACAGGAGTGAGTGAGTTAAGTTTTACACCGCACTCAGCAATATTCCAGCTATATGGCAGCGGTCTGTAAATAATCGAGTCTGGACCAGACAATCCAGTGATCAACAGCATGAGCATCGATCTGCGCAATTGGGATACGATGACATGTGTCAACCAAGTCAGCGAGCCTGACCACCCGATCCCGTTAGTCGCTTCTTACGACAAGCATGGGTTACTGAAGATCAGTATTCTAACCTGGATCTTCACGGGTGTTTATTGACAGAAGGAGTGGGAGGTGGTCACATACAGGTAAGGGTGTACAGTGGGTTGCCGTAGTGACACAGGTGGCCTGTGTGGGTGGGATATTGGGGTGAGGATGGGTTTCAGTTCCATGAAAATGCATTAGCCAGAGTTTGTGATAAAAATGTTGAAAAAAAGTGTGAAAAGATATGCTATCCATAAGTGTAGAAGGTCCCCCGATGTTGCTGTAATATTGCTAAAAGCGGCGTAAAACCAAACTCAGTCCGTCAGTCAGGCATAAGTGTAGAAAGATTCAGTTCATTAACCTTGCATGTGAGCATTTGGGCAATTTTCAATGTAAACCTCATAATTTTCATTTTTGCAAACAATAACGTGACATTTATAATAACAAATTCACAAGTTTCAAAAGGTGTTCATCAAACAATTTGACAATTTTATAAAATATAATCCCTATCCATATAGAAAAAATATTGGAGGGAAAATTTGCAATAATTATTGATATTGATTTGATATAGAGTAGAACAGATTAATAGTACACCATCATCAACAACAAACAGTGTGTGTTATACACTTGCTTACCAACTACAAGTGTGTTGATGTTGTCTTGTTGCTAGGCTGTGTGGCGAGGCTATCGGGCCAGGAAGAACATTACTTGTAAGAAGATCCGACGTGCGAGGGCCCGTTGCCATGAAGCCAGTCAGAATGCTACAGAAGACAAGAAGCTGGGCAACCGTACAACCTCCGCCCTGGACTACCTGCTGGAGTACAAGAGTCTGTCTCACATCCTGGAAGCCCTCATGCATCTCGGTACGTCCATCTGCTTCGTGTTGTATACAGTTTGTGGGGCAAGGTCAGCACAGTTGTGTCCATAGACAGCAGCCTAGAACATGGAGAGATCATTCCTAAAGTTCCATATATAGATACAGACACAGGTTATTTCATTCTTGAGTTAATCAAGATTTACCACGGGCTATCTATTTTCAAATACAGAGTGCTCCCAGTAATACAGTTTTGAGGTATGATCAATGGGCCCGTGTCAAGTGCACACATGATTTCATTTCCAACTATTGTATAGATGTCATCAATAGGATGTTATGGGATTTTAGTGCTACATTGAAGAAACCAACCTTTGACAACATTTGATGAATTTCTTCCAGAATTGTCAGGTATGCATGTAGTCTACAGTAGTGATAAAAGTGATGATTTAAACAGCTATTCGCCCATTGTATTCTCAGCTTGTATTCATATTGGATGCAATAATTTCCGGGGTGGCAATTTTCCGCTGATCCACGGATTTCCGCCAATTTTATTTCAAATTGATCATTCTGAACCTCCCATTCTATGACACAATGGTAAGTTTTCATCTGAAAATAGATTTTCCTGTTGCCATCCCTGTAATTTGTGTACAAGAGGTTGTAAAATGTGATGATTACATGAACGTGTATGGTGTTGATGGTATTACCTCTGTCTAAAATGTTTAAGTCTGAAGTGTATGGAGGCTGTATCAACAATTCATAGATCATGAGTCGTTTCCACTCCACTCCACATTTCACCTCCCCTTCCTTCCTGTCCTCAGATGTGGCTACTCGACTGTCCCCACGATGTTGCCAACGTCTGGTGGAGGTGCATGCCGTCCATGTCATCTACCGCCTCATCCGCAGCTGCAACCGCAGCCTGCCACACATGGAGCTGATCAAGTACTCCGTCAACATCCTCCTCAACCTGGCCAAGGTAAAACATGAACAAGTGCTTTGTTTACAATTAAAGAGGATCATTTATGTTTTATATGATGTCTTAAAATCATAAAGGAATTGCTGGGGATGCAATGAAAAATATTTTTAGTTCTCTCTTTCTGTGGGCGAAGTATCTCTGCTCTTCCCTAAGACTCACCAAGGTGTCAGGGAGAAAGATGACTTCAAGTTTTAAAAGTTTTGTGAACTTTGCCGGAACCAGACCAGCATAATTGTGATATACTTCCACATGATTTCCCACCTGTCAGTATCTCTCCATGTTTCCTGTGGGTTCCTCATACATTACTCCAAATGTGGGTCAAAAGTCCTATACATGTAGACAACTGATTGCATTACTCACATATTTCTGGAATCTAATCTGAGTTGAAGAAAAAAACCTTGGTGTAATTGCTCTCCAGGCCATTAATTTGTGCCAGTGGTTGATATTCAATCCCTCTCAGGAACACTGTGTCATTCATCAGAAGCAGTGAGAAGCAACCTACATCTTGCATGTAGGAGTGGAATTTATTTTTGTTCTTTTTCTTGTTTGCAAATTAAACTCATTAATAACATAGCAAAGGAAATTCATAAAATCTGCCGTGTTTTTCTCTAAATCATGTCTTTGTAATGACTTTTTAAAAATCTTTTCATTTATACTATCATCGCACATTGCATTTCTGCTAAATACTCTTGATGCTGGTTTGAACAAGATTTAAAGCATGTGTCCTCTATATTTCTTGCCTCGTAACGCCTCACCCATACACAATCCATTCGTAACTGCCTGCGTGCAGACCCTCTGGGTGAGCCCATGTCTACTCCTGTCTAGTTTGTGAGTGATCCACAGGATCGGACATTCACTACAGGGATCATACTAACGTGATTAACTAGCATTTTAGGAATGATTGAGAGGATCAACAGTTATTTCGGAGCAAACATGAGAATCAGCAGTTACATTGGGAGCATTGAGATACAGCTTCAGGTGCTGGCTTCTGTTACTCTGAGGCTCCAGAATTTCATGAGGTTCCCGTATCTTGTTTGTCTGCTACAAACAGGCTACAATTGGTCTTACATCCCCTCATTTGCCCTCTGCATTAGAATCCCTCGATCTACCGTCTGGATTGTATACCACTAACTTTCAGATGCTAAGGTTACCCACTCCTGTGCAAGTGATTGCCAGGGCACACTGAACATCCACTAGCTGCTTGTGTGATAGCAAGTGGGCATCTTTTGGGGATTCTGGCCTGCCACCGCCTCCGTGGTGTAGTGGTTAGAGCGTCCGCCCGGAGAGCAGAAGGTCGCGGGTTCAATCCCCGGACGTGTCATACCAAAAGACGTTAAAATATGGTACTTGTTGCTCCCTGCCTGGCGCTCGGCATTAATGGGTACAACAAGGACTGGTCTGCTCGGAGTCAGTATAATGTGTCTGAGTGGGATATTCATGCTTCACTGCGGCATGGTATCTCAGTGGGCTAGCACTATAAAACCAGCTTAAGTCTGGGCTAGTACAAGCAGCCGCATACACATACACACACATGCATGTCGTCATATGAGCGAAATATTCTCAAGCACGATGTTAAACCCAATTTCACCTCACCACCTCACCTCCACCTCACCTATCCTCTGCCAGGAGCCTTGCATCAACATTACTGGAGTGTTGACAAGGAAGATGCTATGTTTGAAAGTGCTGGCAGGAGCTGCACGTTCAGGTGACCCTGAATTAAACAGGGTCCCTGTTAAACATTCTATTCATGTTGCTGGGCATCTGCATCTAGTGGGAGCCAAAAGTCAAACTACATTCTGGGTCAAACAGATCTTCCTTCCCATCGCCAACATCTATAGTTGGATGTGAAGACACGACCAGAATGCTCCAGTTACCATGTTAAAGCAGTGTCTCTCTGTAATGAAATAACCTGTGAAATGGTGCCCAGTTATTCCGACTTCATTGCACTACTTGTCTGTAAACACAGGCACCATCTGTTCTATGCAACAGGTGCCATCAGCAGAGTATCTACCTCACCTACAAACTACACTTGGAATGATGATGACGTTTTCTTGACAACTGCTCTTCCGCTTTGATTAGAGAAGATGTTTTTTGACACATGCCATGACACGTGCACGACCTTTCAGAAGAGGGTGTTGAAGGCGTTCAGCATTATGTGGGTCACATTCCCTTCCCCACGCTTCCTCTTCACAAGAAGCATCTTGAAATGTACTTTATCTGTTCATTCTGTGTCATGTGATGACTCGTGGGAGGCATGTCTGGCCAGTTGTTTATGGAAATGTTCTCTGTGTGAGAGGCATCTGTAGGAATTACAAACAAAACAATCTGACATGTATGTTTATATTTTTTCTGGACACAATTGCTACCTTTTTTTCACATAGATATTGGATTTGCAGACCTGATTTGTTATCCACTCACTTTATCATATTAGACTTTGTCCTGTGTCAGCCAGGGGATAAGTCCATCTGTTGTTTATCAAAACCAACCACTGAACATTTTCAGTAAAGAAAACACACACAGGATCTAGTTAAACAGCCAGGAAGTGACTTATGTTTTGAGACCAGGTCAAGAAGTCATGCTTACTTCAGCAGTGTCAAGCAGTGTCAAGCGGTGTCAACTCCATGCCCTCAATAAGGACACGGCATGATCGTGACAAGTGGTCCCCACAAGGAGATTGGTTAGAGGGCACTTGAGAGCTTGGTCTTCCGCTTGCTTAGTTTTCCCAGGTCTGCATTCAATCTGAAGGTTTCCCTAGTTTTCAAATCATTCTCCGAGTGTTCCAAGGACAGCGCCTACAACTAGTGACACCCAATAATCCAGTGTAAGCCCGCCTTACAATCAGGAGTTATCCATTCTTCCTCAGAGACACACATTGTCTTCAGCCATATCTCCTATATAGTAGTAGTTGAAAAAAGTGTCTTGTTTCTCCTCTCCACACATCTCATTTTCTTCCTATTTATTTACCGTCTCAAGTGGTTAGAACATCTGCCCGGAGAGGCAGTCTAAGATCTGATAATGAGCTTTGTTGTTGCATATATGCTTTTTTAGGCAATGCTACGATGTTGAATACAATTTTGCAGTTCCTTGAAAGGGATGAAAAATCCTAACATTATCAGGTAGTTCGGACAGTGAATTCTTTCCCATGCAAGACCGAGTACCCATGTTTGCCAAATTTGACATCTGACATCTGAAGGGTATGAGAACAGATCAGAACTTTTATTAAGCTCAGGCCGGGATACTTGGTATAACAAGAACACATGTAAAGTGTACATAGGATGGTTTACATGGAAGATTTTGCAGTTTTCATGATGATATTACAAAATATACATATATTTTTCAAAACACTAAATTTAATGACAATGGCACCCTATCCTTTCAAGAGTTTCATGAAATAGAAATGTACATTCTGGAATCCTTTGCCAAACACATAGTGAAGAAAGTCTGTGTAATCCTTGTGAATCAAAGCAGTGTTAATCAAACTGCTCATGCAGTGTTCAACCAGTTAGTTTCCTACAGCCATGTTTACTCCCTATCTCAAGATCTGCATCTATTCTCAGTTATGCAATATCGTGTATCCTGAAAACCCAGGGCCTGTAAATGATCCCGCTCTTTCTATTTAGATATTAAGTGTCAGTGTTATATGTCTACTTGTCTTTGTTTCAGTACGACAAGACTGTGAATGCTGTACATGATGTTGAATCAACTGACATCCTTGTGGACCTAATGCAGATTTATCGGGAGAAAGGCAGCGCCATCTTTGCCAAGACATGCTCGCTTCTTGGCATTCTAGCCCTGGATCCCCACAGAAGACAGGTTAGTGTTTTTCTTGTGGGATCCGTTTGCTGTCTACTTCGTGCGTTATGATTAATACCAATGATCAGAAACCTGCCAGCAATTAGCAACTGTTAATTTGCAGTTTGACCTTAATGAATATTGTCAGCAGTATTAGAACACTAGGGTCAGAGCAGTGAAATAGTAGGTGTAGGTTATTCTAGGATCACCCGTCAGATTAAGAAAGACGATGGAAACTGTATGAAATGTCTAAACTATGGAGAATCTGAAGCTAATTAATCATTCTTTTCATGTACGTCATCACCTGACGTTGTGATTTTTTTTTTATGTAATACGTCATATTGCATCAATTTGTCTGTCATTTCTTTAGTCTACTTATGTGCAAAAAAATCTCTGATCTCTTAAATTTACAAATGTTTCACATTTTTTTGCAGTTTAAATACCTAGTATAGACATACAAAAAGTTGGCGAGTTTTGTATCAGGCTTTATCTTGTATAGTATTACAGTGGCATTCCGTATCAATTCCTCAATTTAAATATCATAGGGCACGTCCACCATGATGGACACGTGCACGCTCATCTGATATAGTCTGACCTGTTGTTCTACCATTCCTTCTTTTCCCCCTACTGTTTTGGATGCTTGTTTTGACATATGCTGATGACTAAAAATACCTTCAACATGTTATTTGGAAAAACCTGGGACCCTACCCACAAAGCATTCATAGTTTTACACCTTTCGTAAGTCAATGATGTACAGCTCGTTCAGCTTGACCTGAGCTACTCTACATATGCATGACCTGGGAGGTCAAATGGCACAAACGGCAGGTCGAGTTAACTTCATTAAATAGGGGAGCAAAGAATATTATTAATGTTGCGTTTGTGCGAAACATGCATGCATGGATTTGTTACAGAACTTGTCCCGGAAGACAACACTTCTGAAAAAAACAATCATTTCATGTTTTAATTGAATTGTTTATACAGTCATATGCTATCTAGTTTGGTTTACTAACTTTACAACGTACAGACGTCAGTTACTTTCACAATCCGCTACACCCAGTTCAATTATCACTTTTCCTAATTCATGTTCAACTGCAATATGTTTGTAGCTTCAATTTTAAAGAAAGTTAGGATATTGCTGATGATTTCTCAACACTGAGATGTGAAATGGCGACCTAGTCTCGGCTGTTCAGACATGTTGACAATCAACTGACAAAGGTGCACCCCTTCACAATAATAGACCCAACCAGCTGTGACACGGTTATGCAATTCATTAGTATTCACTTGATCAGGTCGAGCTGAACCAGCTGTAGTATAGAGTTATGATGGATCGTAACGTTACAAACGCTTTGATGATCGTAATGTTGTAGTTTGTATAAGGCACAATAACTTAATACAACAGATCACGTCATGTCGTGTTCAAACAATGTGCAGACAAATCAGTATGTCGTAGTACAGACAAGGACCCCTGAGTATCTGGGTTAGGATCAGTCTTAAGCAACATTTGTGAAGATGACTAACAGGATCTGTTGGTCACACTTCTGTTGTGGTGAAAGCCTGTGATCATATTTCAGACCCGTGAAGGTCCAGGTTAGAATATTGATCTTCAGTAACCCATACTTGTCGTACGAGGCGACTAACAGGATCGGTTGGTCAGGCTCGCTGACTTTGTTGACACGTCATCGGTTCCCAATTGCACAGATCGATGCTCATGCTGTTGATCACTGGATTGTGTGGTCCAGACTCGGTTATTTACAGACTGTCGTTATATAGCTGGAATATTGCTGAGTGTAGCGTTAAACTACACTCACTCACTCACTCACTCACTCATCATATTTCAACTGCATAGGTTGCTGCTCATGACATAAATCACTGGGTTGATTCACACCATATACCTAAGCAAGTATATTGCTAAAAGCTGAAAGCAGCAAGTCAAACATTGGCAGACATGGGATTCCCTTCAGCAACATTTGTTGCACATTTAAACACAGCCCTAAAGTAACTTTTTTGAGCTGTTTATTGGGATTCATCAAGATCTGCTCAAAGGTTGATGTTTAAGCCCAAGTTGGCAGAAATAACAATTCACAAATTGGAGTTGTGTTATAGGATGTTCAATTGCCTTGAGATTCTTTCCCTAGGAAATGTTATACTAGGTGAAAATGAAAAAGGAAAGTGGAAATGTTTTCCAAGGATAGTATTTCCTGAGGCAGTTTCTGAAATGTTTTCTAATGATATGAATACTGCATTTCATTGAAAATGGGACCAACAGCAAGAAAAGGAAACGTTTTCTTTATTGTCACTTTTTTCTTGTCACTTGATGATAGATACTAGTACATCATATTTCACTACACACATGAAATATCCTCAACATTCTTGATTTAACATAATCAGGTGTTTTCTAACTCTATATTCTCGCTCTGTGAAATAGTTTTAAAAAATTAAAGGCCAAAGGAATTTTGAATATATAGATTGACTGAAATTCTTAAGGATAAAAGCGCGATACATCAAAATTGAATCTTTTGCTTTGGTCTTGTTCAGATGCTTTCTTTGATGATCTTCACCCCTCTGCAATTTTGTGATCAAATTTCATACACAAAGTGTACAATTCTTACTGACATTGGGGCGGTGGGGTAGCCTAAGGGTTAAAGCGTTGGCTCGTCACGCCGAAGACCCGGGTTCAAATCCCCAAATGGGTACAATGTGTGAAGCCCATTTCTGGTGTCCCCCGCCGTGATGTTGCTGGAATATTGCTAAAAGCAGCGTAAAACCAAACTCAGTCAGTCAGTCAGTCTTACTGACATCAGCCAAATTCACATTGTTTTACTGAATTTTATAACTGAATGTACATATTCCCCTTCCTCCTCCAGGAAATCTTGCAACAGACGAAACTCATGGAGAAGATCCGCAGTATCCAGAGTCTGGTATCTCGCAAAAACAAGGTGGACGAACGTCACAAGCTTGTCCAAGCCAGGATGGCCGCCTCACGCAGCTTCAACTCCACACTACCACTACCCACACCGGTCAAGCGGAGACGTATTCGACCAGAGTGGACTCTGAAACGTGACAGTCTTCACGCCTTGTCCGATCCACTCCCAGCCATTAACTTTGTCCTGGAGAACCTACATCTGTCTGCAAAGTGATTCTGGAGGGGAGGGAAGGGTGCCAATATTTATTCCAGTGCTAGAATTACATACACTCTTGATGCAGGGTGTAGTTAGAGCTTGCTGAGTATTGTATATGCTCTGCAGTAGTTCATGTATGTATCAGTTGCCAGTCCCAGACCTGGAAATGTTACTCCATCATCCAAATTCTTGGATTGGATCTTTCACTGTCATACCTCAGCAAGAGGTGACCTGTCTGACCTGGGTTGGCAAGGGCAGAGACCTGTCTGGAGAAGGATTAAAGTTTAGTTTAGATGAAAGACTGGGCAATAAGTGCTATAACCAGTGGTGCAGACTGACGCTCCATGATTCCTGGAGCCCTGTTGGTGAACTTTCCAGACAGAAAATCCCAGTGATTCCACTCTCATTCTGTGCTTGCGAAGGTTAAGCCAATACTGATTGTTTTACATGTACATGTACAAGTTTTGGGTATGGCCACTAAGTGTGGAATCTAGTTTGTCTGTTTTATCATGTATATAAATCATGAAATGGATGTCATTTCAGTGATGTGAATATGTGTCAGAAATATCAATGAAGTTTGTAAACTCTCTTTTACATCCCATTCCACTTGTAATTGTTCAGCACTGACAGTGGGTCATTACGGAATAAATACACAAAGACTGTAAATACATGGACACGGTTTACACAAACTAGTTTACAAACCGGCCCAACATTGCCACAAGCAAGCACATTTCCAGAGTTATGTCCCTTAGCCCTGTCAGGTTCTGCTGATAGTGGTTACAAATCCCAGATTCGTCCTGAGTATCATCCAAGGGCAGCGTCAACTCCGGCTTTCATCACACAAGTATAACTGAATCTATGATGTTTCAAAGCCATGTTAACCCACACTCATTAAGCCATGTAGGTTGGCAATGTCCCGATTACTAGTACCCTGTATATAATGGGATTAGTTTAGGCTGTAGTTATGTATCTAAAGACCTGCTTGTGACAACTAGAGTAACTCCATACAAATTGACATGTGTCATTAAAGTAACTTTGTATTGTCTGTCCAATGATGTAAAAGATTTCATTGTTTCTTGACTTTCTCTGCTAAATCTGTCATCCGCTATCTGCATTGAATCAAATCTGATTTAATAAATACTATGTATAAAACTATGAATCATTGTTGTGTTGTAATCGGTGTGAAGGTATATCCAGCGTTCAGCAGAGTAGGTGTCTGAAACCAAGATAAGAACACATGCTTCTTGTGGTTCACATGAAACCTCAAAATTCACAGCTGTATTCAAAATTAACATTCATCCCAACATCCCATGTTTCCAAAGCTGCTGTCTGACAACTTTTGGTCAGTATTATGGTATTCTTCTGAGAGTTGTTCTGATTTGTCCTGAGAATTATTTGTAGGAGACTAACTGTATATTCATAAGATATGTTGGTGCAAAAACTCATCATGGGGCCACCAGTTGCCCAGTCATCTGAAGCACTTTTCAAAGTGCAGCTTGTTTTAACAGTATAAGATTGTGGATTATAAACCCCCAGATTTGCAATTAACATGTTTCTAGATTTGTCAGCACCAAAATATGCTGGTGACATCTACTGAAGTGTTCAACCTGAGACCTGTCGTCCATGTACAGAGATGCCAACCTCTACGAGTAGTCACTACGAATTTTAGCCTCAAACTGTGCCAATATGATTGCACTAGAAATTCTACGAAATTTGAAGAAAATTAATTAAAATTCAGATATATAGACAAAACATATATTTTTCCTTATCCTGACTCATGCTCTTTTGCTTGTCTTCTTCTTCTTTGCAACATAGTGGAACACTTGTATCTCCCTAATTGAAGCTCCTTCAATTTAAAAATCACTAATTAGTATTCACCACGAAGTTACCTCCTTTCCACAAGCCGCTGAACGAGGGCCACCACCTCTACCCATGTGCCTCACACTCTTCTTCTTCTTCCCAGTGAGCTGGACGCGGAGAGCGCCTGTGTCTCCGACACACTATATCCTTTGAATTATATTTAGTTAGTTACCTCGTGATAGACATCTATAGAGGTTTAGCTAGTATCCTTCAACGATTATATATTGATATTTAGTCGCTTTTTCTACAGTTTAGTCACGGGACGCCGTGGTTTGTTTCCAGTGGATTACGCTTGATGAAAAATTCTGTACTATTGCAGATTACGCTTTTATGCTGCTGCTGATCCGCCTTTAATATGATGTACGGCCATGTTTATTATATTCACATTGCAGTTGCGGTACTAATTTATCCAATTCTACCTTTTATTAATATTTACTTTGGCGCTTTGGCACGCATTGCAGATAGGTCGCGTATGCAGAGTCTAGTATGACTGATACACCGAACCCTCGCCAGTCTACTGCTGTTGGCCGACTTCTCCCGTGTGGTGTTCCGCTAGAGTGGTGGAGAGGTGTGGGACGAGTCCGCCATCTCCAAGAAGCATCCTGCTTCCCAGACATCCCATCGCCGCAGCAGAAGACTAGAGGGTTTTTCTACTACATCTCAACAACCGACCGCTCCCATCGAAGTTTTGGGCCTGTATGATGATCAGCCGGGTCATCATACCGGATGTACATCAAGATTGACCGATGTCGGCACAGATCAGCATGCAGCCTGATGTACCAACGCAGATATGCGCGATCGTCCTGAGGGTCCCATCATTACCAACACTCAACGCAGACGCCGCGACACCCAGGGCAGCGCCGACCTCTGAGGGAAAATCAACGGGTCTACTAGGACTTTCTCAACCGAGATTGTTCCAGCCGATGACCTGGACCTCTACGATGATCAGCTGATCATCATCCCCGACGCACGCCACAAGAAACGACCGGGTGACAGCTACAACGACATCAGCAGAGATCACCATGCAGCCTGATGCCTCTACACTGATGTCGGACGATTTTCCGGTGGACCCCTTCATTAACACCGCAGATAAAGCACCGACGACCTAATTCGCCGCAGACCATCCCAGAAGACATGATGCGACAAATTATGAACATCATGGAGGACCAATATCTGGCGGTAGCAGGGTCCGAACAACCAGCTGGCTCCAACGTGACAGCACCCCAGAGGCACCCCCGCCAACGTAGCAGCCAGGACGATGTCACCTTCGCTGAAGGAAGTCAATGGACCACCTTGACGAAGGACCTAGATGTACAGCCTTCGCGAAGGCCTTCGCTAAGGCGGAAAGGACCTAGATGTACAGCCTTCGCCGGAAAAGAACTCTAGATGTACAGCCTTCGGCTGACTTCGCTAAGGCAGGATAGATCATCACCTTTTGCGTTTCATCCCTAGATGTGGACTCGGACCATCAGACATCACGGAAGCCTTCGCTAAGGTCATATCGTCGTTCCCCGGACCGACGCAGAGGAAGCTTCGCTAAGGCATGCCAAGGACACCTGAATCCAGATCATCATCATCTAGAAGGACATCGAGGGACTATACAAGAGCTTCACGAAACTATCAACGCTCCCCTCACAAGTCTCCGAAGAAGATCAACCCATAGACAAGTTGATCATCGATATCAACTATAAGAACTACAATCGTATATTGGTTCTGTTGAATCCATGATCTAGACGTATGTTCGCTGGCCTAAATAGATCTAGAACGATCAATTAGACACTTATCACCAGACTTCGTGAATACCCACTTCTGAATATGATAAGATGATCCATGCGCCCTACTTTAGGCAAGCGCCCGATCCCACATCCTGTTAAACACAGAGGCTGTTCACGAAGCAAAGCCATATATATATTTATATATATATATATATATACTAATCGGGCTTTGATTCGACACCTTCGCGATGGTCGCTAAGGCTAAGTGGCTCCAAGTCTACTTCACCCAGAAGATCTAGAAGGGATACTTCGAGAACTTCGCTCTCCGGCGCTCACCGAGTGAAGTCTCCTCCAAGGTTTCCATATACTAGCCACTTTCGTCATATATAGCTACTTTCGTCAGTCCGTTCAAGACGCCGCATAAGTTGAGTATCAACTGTATGCCAGATGTCGCCTATAAGCCCTCGCCGAAGATAATTGCTCAGGCTATTTACAACACAGAACGTCGCTGTATTATTAGTCAACGACATTTCATAGATCTTCACAGAAATCAACTATTCATTATAAATTGCTAATATACAATCTCGGACGACGATACGATTATCTACATGCGTGACCATTACGCATATCTGCAGACAATTCAATATCGAATTGAACAGCAGCCTTGTTACAGCGAGTATAACTCTCTGTATAATCTCGGACCCTGCTACCGCAGATATTGGTCCTCCATGATAACTCAATAGTCGTTTTTTCTACAGTTTAGTCAATGGACGCGTGTTTGTTTCAGTGGATACGCTTGATGAAAATTCTGTACTATTGCAGATTACGTTTTTTATGCTGCTGCTGATCCGCCTTTAATATGATGTACGGCGCCATGTTTATTATATTCACATTGCAGTTGCGGTACTAATTTATCCAATTCTACCTTTTTATTAATATTTACTTTGCGCTTGGCACGCTTATTGGCAGATAGGTCGCGTATGCAGAGTCTAGTATGACTGATACACCGGAACCCCTCGCCAGTCTACTGCTGTTGGCCGACTCCCCTCCCGTGTGGTGTTCCGCTAGAGTGGTGGAGAGGTGTGGGACGTAGTCCGCCATCTCCAAGAAGCATCCTGCTTCCCCAGACATCCCATCGTCGCAGCAGAAGACTAGAGGGTTTTTCTACTACATCTCAACAACCGAGACCGTTCCCATCGAAGTTTTGGGCCTGTATGATGATCAGCCGGTCATCATACCGGATGTACATCAAGATTGACCGATGTCGGCACAGATCAGCATGCAGCCTGATGTACCAACGCGATATGCGATGATGATGCGTCCTGAGGGTCCCATCATTACACCAACACTCAGCGACAGCCGTCGACACCCAGGGCAGCGTCGACCTCTGAGGAAAATCAACGGTCTACTAGGACTTTCTCACCGAGATTGTTCCAGCCGATGACCTGGACCTCTACGATGATCAGCTGATCATCATCCCGGCGACGCATTTTCTACAAGAAACGACCGGGTGACAGCTACAACGACATCAGCAGAGATCACCATGCAGCCTGATGCCTCTACACTGATGTCGGACGATTTTCCGTGGACCCCTTCATTAACATTAACACCGCAGATAAAGCACCGGCGACCTGTCGCCGCAGACCATCCCAGAAGACATGATGCGACAAATTATGAACATCATGGAGGACCAATATCTCGCGGTAGCAGGGTCGAACAAGCGAAGGCTCCAACGTGATACAGCACCCCAGAGGCACCCCCGCCAACGTAGCAGCCAGGGACGATGTCACCTTCGCGAAGGAAGTCACGGACCACCTTGACGAAGGACCTAGATGTACAGCCTTCGCGAGGCCTTAGCGAAGGCGAGAAAGGACCTAGATGTACAGCCTTCGCTAAAGTGAGCGAAAGAACCTAGATGTACAGGCTAGCCCGAAGGACTTAGCGAGGCGCAGGATAGATCATCACCTTTTCGCGGTTTCATCCCTAGATGTGGACTCGGACCATCAGACATCACGGAAGCCTTCGCGAAGGTCATATCGTCGTTCCCCGGACGGATCTTGAGAGGAAGCTTCGCGAAGGCATGCGCGAAAGGACACCTGAATCCAGATCATCATCATCTAGAAGGACATCGAGGGACTATACAAGAGCTTCGCAGAAAACTATCAACGTTCCCCTCACAAGTCTCGTGAAGATCAACCCATAGACAAGTTGATCATCGATATCAACTATAAGAACTACAATGCGTATATTGGTTCTGTTGAATCCATGACGAGACGTGCGATGTTCGCTGGCCTAAATAGATCTAGAACGATCAATTAGACACTTATCACCAGACTTCAGTGAACCTCGACTTCTGAATATGATAAGATGATCCATGCTGCCCCTATTTAGGCAAGCCTACGGCCGATCCCACATCCTGTTAAACACAGAGGCTGTTCACGAAGCAAGCGGCTATATATATATTTATATATATATATATATACTAATCGGGACTTTGATTCTCGACACCTTCGCGATGGTCGCTAAGGCTAAGTGGGCTCCAAGTCTACTTCACTCCAGAAGATCTAGAAGGATACTCGA